AGACTGTATAACGAGGTGCGATGGCAGGTCATTGAGCCTCAACATATCGGTGTTTCGTAAGCCATGAGCCACAACAATTTTTCTTCCATTCCCCAATATCTTATTTTTCAATATTTTTTTTCCTGTGAAACGAGAGGGGGAAGGCAGGCGCGGTCATTGGCCATGAACCAAATGAATAAATACATTACCTTCCCGATTCCCAATTTACAATTATGTCAATTGGCCGCAATTGCCTCTTCCATGCCACAACATGATAGTTTCCGACGATTTTATCTCTTGAAAGATGTAACTGTAAAACGAGCGTGGAAAGACAGTCAGGCATAGTAATCGGACAAGAGCCACAACAAAATTCATCCCAAATTTTTACAGTAATGCCATTCGCCACAACAATGTTCTCTGTCATCCTGGACAATTTTTGTCTTCCTGGAATTCTCATTTTTTTCAGTTGTAAATTTTATGTTATTAAATTTATTTTTCCAATCACATTTCAATCAAGAAGTATTTAAACGAGATTTCTTTGTTTCTGAACTATTTAATTTTGAAAATAGGATTTTTAATATATTTAAATAAGGTTCAGTGAGTTCAATGTTTTGTTAAAATATATGTTGTATTTTTTTTTTTTTTACCGAAAGCAATTTATTTTTATGCTTTTACTCAACACCAGGGTTGTATATAAAATATGGTCGAGTTTTTATAAAAAGTTATAAATAACAAAGATGAAATGTTCAATCTAATTATGTTAATTCTAAACACACTGTACGTTTTCCCTTGCAATCTCTCTTTTTTTAGATCTATTTATTTTTAATTTTATTTTTATGTGATTGAATATTTTACAGCTTTTACTCTTAACGCCAGGGTTTAGTGTAAAATATTGTCGAGTTTTTATAAAAAGTTCTGAATAACAAAGATTAAATTATCACGGACAATTGTCCAATTTTCAATCTAATTATGTCAATTCTAAACACACTGTACACTGCAATCTCTCTTTTTTTTAGATCTATAGCCAATAGACTGTAGGGGTTTTTAAAATTTTCATAAATGAAATTTTCTATTTTAGATTTTTTTCACGATTCAAACATTAAATCCGTTAAAACATCCTCAATAAAAAATGTTAGAAACCTCTCTGATTCTAGTTTTATTAGTTTAAAAGTGTGTGTAACATTTGCTTATGATAAACTCTACTTGGTAACTTTTCCTATTGTATCCCTGCCCCCTCATAAGGTTCATGGGGAGGGGAGAGGGTGCAATTTTAATGTAAAAAGTTGATCTTTAAAACGTCCATTCATGGTTTTTAAAGTTTTTTCTTTTAATGACGGATCATTTTTTCTTTGTTTTTATAAAACACTAAATCTGTCAAGTATTTAGTGTACCTATAGCTTTATATAAAAGAAATAAATATTTGTTTGGGTACTTAAGTACTTTAGAATACTTATTTTACCGGCCCCGAATCCCTACAGCCATTCCGTTGTCCACGTCAAAATAAAGTAAATTTTAAGTTCTATTCAAATCTTACGTGTTTTCAATCATAACTTCTCGTATGAAAGAACAGAAATGTTTTTATTTTCTAATATGTAATTGGAATTATTTGTTTCTCTTCTAGCTCTTCTAGTTTTGATTAAAATCAAAACTAGAAGAGCTACGAGGTCACAAAGTTATACAAGTTATGTCGAATAAATTTGACCTTCTCCTTATATCTAGGTTGCAATGTTTCCCAATTAAAGTAAATGACGAAAATATTTTAAAATATAGAAAGCAATGTTAAGGAACTAGATTTTTGCCACAACTATTTGCTACCTCTTTGCAATCCTATGTAGGAGACCTTTGATATTTCAAACTATGAATTCTATAAGAAAAAGTAATCTAAGTTTGAATATCCCAGGTTTACACCATTTGGTTGCAAATATATTGAGATTAGACAGTTTCAGTTTGTGGCAATTTACTCTCTAAAATGATTTTAAAATTCCTAATTTGTGTTTTATTTCAGAATCTGTTTGAACAGAGGAGATGTGTTTCTTTAATTTTCATAAAATTCCAAAAATTTTCAGGTAATTGTTATTTTTTCCTATTTTTTAAAGTTTATTATTATTATGTATCAATTTCAAGGTAGAAAAGTATCAATCAATCAAGTATCAATTTCAAGGTAGAAAAGTATCAATCAATCAAGTATCAATTTCAAGCCAGAAAAGTATCAATCAATCAAGTATCAATTTCAAGGTAGAAAAGTAAGAATGTTTTCCTAGTTTTTTACTGATAAAGGTGTAAAGATTATCGTTGTGAATCGATCATGTCCCAATGGGCCTGGAAAAACATTCCCCACTAATAAGTTTTATAGTTATGGATGTTCTTTTTTCAGTTTAAAAATCAAATGCATTTAAATTATATTTATCAAATTCAGATAAAGCAAATCAATTTTTGATAATGTGCTTTTGCCAAGATTTAAATAAAAAAATTTTATGTTTTTTTTAAATATGTTTCCTTGAAATTGTGTTTCTTTTGTCATTTTTTTCACTGATTTATCAATCCACATTCTGATGTTAATGTTTTTCAGGATTTTTCCAATTACTCCTTAAAAAAAACCAGAAGCAACCGCTATGCCACTTTTAAAGATTCATATTCAGAGCTACAAAAAAAATAATATCTGTTTGTCTTGTACTTTCAGTGGATTGGCGTTAACTTTATTTATGAATAATTAAGTAATGGATAAAAATTATAAAAATTGGATGAAAAAGAGTGTTGCTGAAAGATATCTTTCTTCCCACACATTTCATGTTCAATGAATTGAGGGGTAAGGGGGAATGAGG